ATCTCCCCGCGAATTTGAGAAAGATGGCCGACGTAGATATTGCTAAATACACCCAAGACAATTGGGAGGAATTGAGAGACGAATTGGAACCATATGCAAAAAGGGATACCCTATGTCTTGGAGCTTGTTTGATAAAATACAACCAAGTCATGAAAGAAGTTGTAAACCAGAATATGTCCAATAATCTAACGGCTCCATCTTTATCTTTAAAGGGTTGGTATTATTTATATCATTACGATAAAGAAATGGTTGAAGAAGAATGGTATGAAACTACTAGAATGGTTGCGAAACATACCGAAAAAGAAAATATAGAAAAAGTTTATTCGCACCCTAATCCTTTTATAAGAAATTTTATCAGACGATCTATTAAAGGAGGAAGAGTTTCGGCAAATAGAAAATGATTTGAAACGAACAAAATGGATGAAATTTGTAACGTATTAAAGGAATATACAGAACTTGAAAGTAATAACATAATTGATTTATTCAAAGAATACAGCGCAAGCACAAAAGACAAAACGGAAGTTCATTCGAGACTTAAAAAAATAGAATGTACTAAACTAATGGCATTTGATGCTAACGGTTTATACGCTTCCGCCATGTCGGATTTAGACAGTGAATATCCGAGAGCGGAAAGTGGAAGACCGTTTCTACCAGAAGAAGAAAAAGAGTTTGTAAAACTCTTCAATAAACAAAAATTCAGACCTAGAACAGCTATTTTAACAGTGTGGTTTGAGTATCCCAAAAACATGTTCTTCCAACCGATACCAGCTAAAGATAAAATCACTTTCACGAATAATGAAGGTAAAAAGGAAACTGGTAAAAATATCAGGTTCAGAAATGGTTTCTGTCACGACGTTTTAACATCGGTCGATATTCAAGAAATAGTGAAAGCCGGTGGAAGAATTATTAGAATATTAGATGGTATAGTTTACGAAGAAAATTTTAAAACTCCACCCTATGGAGATTATATTTTAATTTTGAGAGATCTAAGAAATAAATATAAACGAGAAGGTAATATCGTGGGTAGTAATTGCATGAAATTATTATGTAATTCCTTGTATGGTAAATCAATTCAGAAAGATATATTCACAACTAGACATTTATGGAATGAAGCAACTTTACAGGCCAACTTTGATTCACGTGTTAAAATCTATGAGAAAATTAATGATACTCAATACATTGTTGAAACAGAAATTGAAGAAAAAGAGATTACTACCGAAGATAGTAAATCTACACGACTAACATCTAGTCATTTGGGATCATTCGTTTTATCTCACAGTAAAAAAATAATGAACAATTTCATTCACGTCATAAATGGATTTTATAAGCCCGAAATATACTATACAGACACCGATAGTTTGTACATTTCATCCAACAATTGGAAAAAACTAAACAGAGCTGGTTTGGTCTCCGAAGAAGACTATTGCAAAGGTAAAAACGATTATGGTGACGGTGGAATTATATTTGGTTTATATTTAGCACCAAAAGTCAAATACAACATCGTTTTGACTTCCGATGGTGTTTTAAAAGAAAAGAAAACGTTTAAAGGTTATTCTAATGATAAGATAAGTGTAGAAGATTACGTTCAGTTGGCAAGCGGACATGATGTAACGAACAAATTTAAGAAACCATGGGAAAAAAGTTTCACCAATGGAGTAGTTATTCCAAATGATAAACAAACTAAAGTTTTTAGAAGTTATTTGAATAATGTTAAAAGAAAACCACCAAACAGTGAAGGAATTATGTATCCTTACAACGACAAAGATGAGTATAGTTTTGATGAAAACTATGAATTTGATGATTTCGATTATCTTACTATTCAAGAAGAGAATGAAGATTGTTTTAAATGAAGTTTAATGACAATTTCTTCGTTGCCAAAGTCTATGAACCTGTTTTTACCGTCTTTGATTTCCAGATTCATATCTTTGATAATGAAAGAATTGACTGGTAA